CTCCAGCCCCCGCCCCCTCCCCGCAGTCCCCGCCCCGCCGTCTCCGCCCAGCCCAAGGTCAAGGCCTGGGCCAAGGCCGCGCTAAGGCCTCGGGCGCTGCGGGGCATGAGCTGCTGCCCCCTGGCGGGAAGCCGCGGCACTGTTTTCCGAGGACCTGATGGTGAACGTTTGCAAAAAGAATTCACCTGCGCCCGTGCAGACAGCAGTTACAGGCGGACCATCTCACCTTACAGACGAGGAGACGCCCACTGAGGGCGAGAGGGTGGCGGGCTTCCTTCTTCCTCCTGCCTCCCTCCCTTCCTCCCTTCCTTGCCCTGGCGTTGAACCCGGATCTTCACACTGAGCTACGTACATCCCCACCCCTTTTCAAGGTTTTTCAATCTTTATTAGTACATGTTTGCAGTACATAACGATTATATTCATCGTGGGGACTCGGCATATGCATATGACACATCTCAATTCCTTTTTCATCCCTTCCGCTCCTTCCTCCTTCCCTCCCCCCTCTTCTAGCTCTGTCTCCCTATTTCCTGTTTTGCTGTTTCCTATTATCTACCTAGTATTTTGCTCTCTATTTATACTTCGGGTTTCTCATAGAGAGAAATCCTGTGATAATTAGGCTCGTGTGTCTGATTTATTCCATTTAATACTACGGTTCAAGATGCAGCCATTTCCCCCACAAATAACTCGTTTATCCTTCTTCATGGCAGAGGAACTCCACTGTGTATAAATGCCATCCTGTTTTTTTTTAATCCATTCACTTGTTAAATTTTGAGACGAGGTTTTGCTCAGGCAGAGCTTAAACTTGAGCATCTCCTGCCTCAGCTTCCCAGCGTGCTGGGATTACAGGTATGTGTCACCACACCTCGCCAGGCTGATTTCTCGGCCTGTTGAGTGCCAGAGCAAAAACTGGGACCCAATCTTCTGAGGCTGGAGCCCAGCGATGATTCCAACCCCAGGGCTGGGTGCCGGGTCCCAGGGCTGGCCATATATAACACACGGTGCCTTCCCCCGTGATACTTAGGTTCTGACTGGGAAAACAGACACACACTACAAGGGGCTGAGACGGGTGTGTTTTGTTACACTGCAGTAAAGTAGCTGTTTAGTGGATACCTGTGAAATGAATTTACGTATGGAAGAAGGACTGTTACAGGACAGTACAAGAAATCCACTGGGCGTCAGCCTGGACTGCACAGTGTGACCCTGTCTCAAAAAGACAAAAAAAAAAAGAACTCCACTGGGCGAATGAATGTGACATGGGCATGTCTGGGAATGTCCTCCGAAGGCGTAAATGTGAACTAAAGCCGTTAGTAGGGATGGCCATGGCTGGGTGTGGTGGCACACACCTACCATCCAGGCACTTGGGAAGCTGAGGCAGGAGGATCACTGGGAATTCGAGGCTAAACTGAATTACATAGAGAGACCTTGTTTCAAACCCCCTCCCCTCAAGTAAAGATGATGGCGATAGAACTCACTCTGCGTCTGCCTTTCTTTACACACCTCGTGGCAATCCTCTGTGTGGGTGTTATCTTCGTCGCTGCTCGCCGACAGTTAAGAAGGTTAAAAATCCGATCCAGAGTTGCATGGCTAGGAACCGGCTGGGCTGGTCTTGGAAGCCTGGCGGTTTCCCTGCAGAGCCCACGCTGAACCACTTCCGTGGGCAGCAAGCTAGTCCCACACAGTAAACAGCTCATCCCCAGGGTTTCCTTGGGGATGAGGAAGTAGCTCAGTGCAGAGGTCCTGGGTTCAATCCTCAGTGCCACAAACAAAATAAAACAACCCTGGAGAAAGTTTTAATGTGACACGAGAGAGGATATTTTCTTACCAAGTGTTATACGATTCAAAGATTATGTACTTAGTACAACACAATAACCAATTTAACACTATAATCTCAGAATATACTCTAAACAACTAAAATCACAACCAATGGAAATTCCTTTCGGAAGTTGGTTTTTTTTGGTTTTTCTCCGGTACCGGGAACCGAACTCCCGACCTTGCACTTGCCAGACAGGCGCTTTTGCCGCTGAGCTAAATCTCCAGCCCCTGTGGAAGTTATTTTTAAATCAAGAAACGTCTAGAACATCAAAAGTGGAAAATTTTTAGAACTAGTTTTCAGGAGAAACATAATGAGTCACATCATGCGTTAAATTTGTTTATTAATCACATTTTAAAAGTAAAAAGAAACTAGTGAAATTAATTTTGCTGTATATTTTATTTAACCCATAATAGCCAAAGTATTATCCTTTTGACACTACAATCACATTTTAAAAGTAAAAAGAAAGTAGTGAAATTAATTTAATTGTATATTTTATTTAACCCAAGATATCTTAAGATATTCCCCCCTTATCCACTGTAATCGCCGTGAAATATTCATGAGATATTTTGAACTCTTTTTGGTGCGCACAAAGTAAAACCCAGTGTGTATTCTGCCGTCATAGTGCATCGCATTTCAGAGAACTGATTTCAAGGGCACAGTAGATACCGCCCGGAACAGCACATTTCTACACCAGATCTGCTCTATGCGATAGCATCTTCTCCGTTTATTTATTTAGAGGTACTGGAGACTGAATCCAGGGCCTTCATAGTGATCTACATCCTCCGTTATTTAATTTATTTTTAGATAGTGTTTGGCTAAGTCACCGAATTGCCTACGTTAAGCTCAAACTTGTGATCTTCCTGCCTCAGCCTCCGAGACCGCTGGGATTATAGGACCGTGCGGCTGCTATACCCAGCTATCCCTGCCTCGTCGCTCATTTGTCTCTTCTCCAACACTGTTTCAAAACTATTCAAGACCTCAGCTCCGGGTGGATGGCCACCGAGCTTGGCCCTTTCTACAGCCGGCCCGCCTCTTCTTCTTTATCCTTTGCTGTCCCCGCGCGGCGATCCGCGGTACTGCAGCATCGGCTGCCGAAGCCCTGGGATCGCAGAGGCGGCAGACTGCAGGGGGAGGGGAGAGGCCGCCCGCGTTGTTAAGGACGCTCGCGGTAACCACCCGTGGGCCGGTGGGGGGACCCTACGGTGGTTCTGGAAATAGACACAGACGATCTGCCCATATGATTGATTTACTGTCAAAACTCCAACAGTGCCTGGCATGATGGCACACGCCTGTAATTCCAGCACTCAGGAGACTGAGGCAGGAGGATTGCTGCAAGTCTGAGGCTAGCCTGGGCTACATAGTGAGTTCAACGCCAGTCTGAACTGCATAGTGACACCTTGTCTAAAAAATAAAAATAAAAAAACTCCAACAATAAAATGTGACGGATAGCTATGTAACTTTTGTGGCGTTTGATTTCTAAATTTGTAGAACTGAAATTTTCTCAGTTATGCAGGTTCACAACGAAAACCATTTTAGGTTTGAGCCTTGCCCAGGTCAGGATGCTGGCATCCCAGCAGGTCGTTTTCAGCTACCATTATCCCTGGGGTTTTCCACCTGCCTGCGGCCCTCGCCTCACCCTCCAGGACTCCTTTCTACCTAACCCAGACACAAGCCACGACCGCCCTGTCAGCCTCACAATGGCACTGTCTTTGTTCCCGCTTTTTTTTTGTTTGTTTTTTTTCCGGTACCGGGAATCGAACTCAGTACCTCGGCGCTTGCCAGGCAGGCGCTGTGCCGCTTAGCTAAATCCCCAGCCCCTGTTCCCGCTTTCTTTCGCGGTCTCTGCAGAGATAAACAGGTTCTGTGTCTTGTACTCAGCACTGTATCCTGGAGTCCACACAGGCTGACAGGCAGGTACCTATGTTTGCCGACTGAACGCTGACTGTAATGACAGGGGAAATAGACAATACAAAATCCTGGCCCCAAGACTCGGGAGGCTGAGGCAGGAGGATCGCGTTTGAGCCCTATCCGAGAAATTTAGCAAGACCCTGTCTCAAAAAAATTAAAAAAAATAAAAAGAGGCTGGGATCTTGGGTTGGGGCCAAATCTCAGTACTGGAAGGGGAGAGAGAGACAGAAAGACAGGGACAGAGACAGAAGAGGGAGGTGGACAAAGAGGAAAAGGAGGAAGGGGAGGGGAGGGAGGAGCTGAGGGGATGGGAGGGAAAGAGGTGGGGAGGGGGAGGGGAATCCCACGGGGATGGCGCTCAGCGGCAGGGTGCATGTTCCCCAGGCAAAGGCCTTGCGTTCAATCTCCAGCACCACCAAAGGAGAAAAAGGAAATCCTGCTTGTGAAACATTTCGTGAGGGAGGAAAAGGCTGGTGAAACGGAGGGGAACCCAGCAGAGACGGGAAACCGAGTCCGTGCCATGATGCCGGCTTCTAGAAACGCTCGCGGGTGCTTCTGAAAAGAAAGAACAGAAAGCACCGTCCCGGCAGCCACTTCCTCCAGGAACAGGGCTTGCTTGTTCTTGTTTTTCCTTTAGACTTTCTTATATCCATTTTAAGAATATTCTGTTTATTAACATACACACACACGTCCCTTTCTCATTTGTATCGTTTAGGACCCGTGGGCACAAGTCACAGAAAGCAGGGCGGCCGGCAGGAGCGTGGCCCGGACTCCGGGTGGTTCTTTCTCAGCCTAAAGCATCGACGAAGATGCAAGAGGCGAACTTGTCCTCCCAGCCCGGAGGTCGGGCTTTCCGGGGAGGGACTGGCCCACCTCGGATCAGTCATTGTCCATCCTTGCTTCTCAAGGCTGCGGGAAGCCACGCCGTGTGCAGAGGGCAGGGCTCAGGGAAGCAGCCATCAGGATGCACACCGAGACCCTCCTGACTCAGCCTTAAGATAACATAGTTGAGGTAGAACAGACAGATGTGAAAGGGTGGACATGGCAGCTCCTAAATGCAGCCAAGAGGCCAGGGAGGTCAACAGCTCTCAACTTTAAGGAGTTATGTAAGTGTTACGAGGGTACCCACAGCTTTGCCAGTATCGAGGGTTCCAAAAACCTCCCTGGCTTTAACGCACCTGTGCACACACGTGCATGCGCACATTGACACAAACTTTTTCCTTTTTGGTGTGGCGCTTGAGATTGAACTCAGGGCCTCACTGCACTCCACGTCCAGCCCTTTTTACTTTTTATTTTGAGACAGAGTCTTGCTAAGTTGCCCAGGCTGGGCTTGAACTTGTGACCCTCCTGCCTGAGAACCCCAAGTAGCTGGAGTTAGAAGTGTGCACCACCAGGCCCAGGCACAAACTTATTTTTAGAATACACACCATCCGATTGACAGGAGCTGAACAACACAAGCCACATAGACATTAGACAGTGCAGGGTTAGAGAGGAGTGTCTGATTTCATGAAGTCTGACTAATGAACAGACTTGAGTCCAGCCCTGAGTATGTTATACTGCAAAATGGTTGCTCATCAAAACAAAATTTATTATTATTATTTGTCTTTTTGAGACAGGGTGTCGCTATCCAGTTCAGGCCGGCCTTGAGCTCACTTTGTAGCCCAGGCTGGTCTCAAACTTGCAACGATCCTCCTGTCTCAGATTCCTGAGTGCTGGGATTACAGGTGTGCGCCACCATGCCCGGCTTAACAAGATTAGTTAAAAGAAACAAGAAAACCTGCTAAACTTGGAAAAGCTTTATTCTACAGTCTGGGAAAAATATTTTGTTCAATATAGGCTGGCTTGATTAGAATTTTTATGTTTCTTTATTCAGTTACATATAAAATTATCTATGGAGAAAACATGAAAATGGGTGCTAGGATCTGGGTACAAGATGCAGGTCTACAGTAAAAGCTAGTCCTTCATATAATTTTTGGGACCACCTTGAACCTATCAAAGTGTTACATTTTTTCAATGATTCTCAATTTCATACAAAGATCAGTTTCTGTTTTGCTTATTTCTTTAAGATATATGCACTTTTCTTTAATTTTTAATTATATAAGAAATATGAGGACTATAAAAATTCTTGCATTTTTTTGTTGTTTTTTGTTTTGCTTCTGGTACCAGGAATTGAACTCACGACCTTGCACTTGTCAAGCAGGTGCTGTGCCGCTGAGCTAAATCCCCAGCCCCAATTCTTGCATTTTGTTAGTTAAGACACAACCATGTAATTGTCTCCAAAGATCTACTGTAACACGTTAGTATGTGTTTTCTTCTAGAAAGTTATACACATTTTTGAGCAAAGATTTATATGATTTGTAAGAACTTTAAAAAAAATTCATTGTATTTTCAAGCCTTAGCATCATTTTCTTTTTTTTTTCCTTAGCATCATTTTCAGTTACTCAAAAATGTAAAAACATATGGATGTCACTTGATTGTACTAATCCATCATCTACTTTTCTGTCAGTAGATATAGTTTTTCAAAAAAGTAGTCCGTTCCCATATTATTCCGTTTTTCAATATCGTCAACCTTTTCAAGGAAAAGAATATTGCACTTTGTACCTAAAACAAAAAGGACAACAGGTTAGAACACTGCCACAAATGTTCTAAAAATACTTCAAATGATTTTAAAGATAGCACCGAAGACCTTTCTCTTCTTTTCAATGAAAACGAGGCAGTGCTAAGCCCACATTTTCTTTTTTTTTTTTTTTTGTCCTAGATCAAAGTCCTTTTTCTCCCGTACCAGGAACCGAACTCACGACCTTGCGCTTGCCAGGCAGGCGCTTTTGCCGCTGAGCTAAATCCCCAGCCCTAAGCCCACATTTTCTGAACTCTGAATTATTACTATCATTTATAACTCCCAAGTGCAAAAATGAATGTATTCCCTCTCAGGGGAAGTCCAAATGTCTTTAACATGCAAAGTTCAGCTAAAAAGGCATGTTATGGAGATTGGCTCCTTTTCTAGATAAAATGATCTTCAGTAACACAGGTCTACCTTTTAAACTTTAATTAGATACACTAATAGCCAGGAACACCTGAGAACAGTTAGCTACTGACTTTTTTTGGAAAAGTCAGAGCAGAGCTTACCAAAGAGTGTTTGAATTTCAGACTCTGGAACATAAAATGGTGGGCCTAGGAAGAAGAGAAATGTAGTGAAGAATAATTTTTATATCTTTAATTCTAAAGCGAAATAAACCCTCTGGGCCTACTTTTCCATGCATCTCCAGTGATCTAGGTGAGTTTATTCTACATACAACTTAATTATTATTATTATTTTTTGGTACCAGGGATCGAACTCAAGACCTCACACTTGCCAGGCAGGAACTGCGCTACTGAGCTAAATCTTCAGCCACAATTATTATCTGAACAGGTGAGGAGCTTATCCTTCTAATGGGGGAGGCTGTTTTTTGAGACAGGCTCTCACCATGTGGTTCAGGCTGGCCTTGAGCTCACTATGTAGCCAAGATTCGCCTTGAATTCACGGCGATCCTCCTGCCTGCGCCTTCGGAGTGCTGGGACTACAGGTTAAGGGGACAGTAGCATTATATACCCATCTGCAGTTTGGATGGAACCATAGCCAAGCCAGCCCGGGGACTTAGGACACTGAACTCCGAGTGGAGTCCACTAGCAAATTCCTCTGGGGCTTCTTCTGTCTCTGGGGCCCTTGTTTTCTGCCTCCTGCACTTATTAGCCAATTCGGTGTGCTCCTCCCACTCTGCCCTGGGACCCGGATGGGAGAAACCTCCCCCTTCCCCTCCCCCTCGGCCCTAGTCAGATCCATGGAGGTAACTTCTGCATCTGCGGCTCCTATTTCCATTAATTAGGGACAGTAGGTCTCATTTTTAAACCTGATTTATTCAAACAGAGAGAAAAAAGACTAAAAGACTATGTAAATCTTAAAGTACTGTTCAAAAGCGCAATTAAAAATCAAATTAGGGGAGTTTTACATATTAAAAGTCTATGTATTTGGTTTGTTATTTCTCCCTGAAAATAAAAGTCCAGCCATGATAAATGCCAAGTTTCAAAGTCCAGATCTTGCGGTGTAGTTCAGTGGTACAGTATAAGGCCCTGGGCTCCATCCCCCAACACAAAGTGGGAAAAAAAAACAGTCTCAATGTCCGAATTCAACAAAATGAATCCACAAGAAAACCTCCCTTTCCCCTTCAGAGCAAAGAGAATCCTAACGGAATGCAACAGATAAAGTACAAAATTTCAGCAATTACAAAACAGCAGCGTGGAGATGTTCCAGTTCTCCTCCGTCTGCCCAGGCCAGCATGTCACCCCAGCAGGGAGTGTGTGGCTGTGGGACATCCGGGCCAGAGCACTGCAATTTCTCCTCCCTCCCAATGCAGGGCTCAGGAGATTTCCCTTTTATATTAGGTTCACCCATGCCTCCCCACCTCTTCTGTAAGCTTGAGCTATAACTGGTGAACACAACAGAATGGAGTACGTGAAAAATATGTCCCATGTGGGAGGAGAAAAATCATGTCCATAGTTCCCATTAGCCCAAAACAGAAGTACCTTCATGTACAAGTATATCAGTCCTACGTTCCCTATGCGATACACCAGGATAAACTAGCTTTTATCCACGTTGTAGAACCAAATTAGGACACAAGGAAACAGAAGAAGGCGGGAAGAGAAATAAGCAGCCTTACCTCCATGCTTTGTTGGATCGTAAGACACAACACACATGAGGTAGAGAAACTCTTTTCCCAGTAGGGACAGCATTATATCTGTGTAGCTGAAAAGAAAGCAAAAAAAGGTATATGCTGCATTGCTCTGTTTAGTCTATTTTTTCTTTTTTTGTACCGGGAATCAAACTCAGGACCTTGTGCTTGCCAGGCAGGCGCTGTGCCACTGAGCTGTAACCTTTGTCCCCATTGCCCTGTTTAGGCACAAGCTGGAGCGGCAGAGAAGGGAAGGAAGCAAGGATTCACTTTCTTTACCATTACAGTGGTACCTCAGTTCCCAAATGCTTCTGTGAACAGAAAACGTCGAGCAAGCTTTGGTTTTCGTTTGGGAACTCTGCATCCGGAGAGGAGCACACCCATGACCATCCTTTCCAGAATCGAGAAACGCATCAAGTTCGGGAACAGTGGCGCCACTGTACTGAGTTTAATTCTAACAATCACATGAAGTTGGCTCTTGTTTTAAAAGTTATACAAAGGTTTCTTGCCTTGCTGTCTAGGTTGGGAACTGGTACGGGGGAGTTGAGGGTGTCACAGAAAGGCACACAGAGGCTCCTTCCAGCTTGCTGTGCTACTCAGGGGCCTGGTGACCTGAGACTTGGAAGTAGAGGGGTCGGGCCAGGGTCCCAGGCCAAGGAGATGCATGCAGGGAGGTGGAGAGGCCTTGACAGACAGGCACAAGAGGGGGACAGGTGTCCCCACAGACGCAAACCCACTCCTCTGCCTACTGCCTATGTAAGCCTGACGAAGTCTTTTTTTTTTTCTTCCTCCCAGTACTGGGGATTGAATCCAGGCCTCTGCACTGAGCAACAGCCCCATATTTTTATATTGTGGTCTTGCTAAGTCACTAAGTGGTCCCGGCTGGGCTTGAACTTGTGATCTACCCGCTTCAGTCTTCCAGAGTGCTGGGATTACACCACTATGCATCGTTGCTTGACAAATTCTTGACCTCTCTGTGTCTCAGTTTCCCCACTTGTGAAATAGGCTAAGACCAGTCACCAGCTTACAAGCTGCTGGGAGAATTCAACGAACTGAAACACAAGGTGCTTAGAACACTGCTTGGTCCACAGAAAGCACACACGGTTTAGCTACTGTTATTCCCTTTCGCATCTTCAACATGAACTCCTCTAACTCAGTGAATCCGATGGATCGCTCTTCCTGGCAAGCATAAGGGCCAGACCAAGGTAAACTTCTGAGATGAATCCTTGATAGTATAACTTTTTGCTTCTTGTTCTTAAGAAGAAGTAAAAAGAAGCCTGTCTCTGTGGAGGTGGTCAGACTGCCCTGGCAGTGTTTCCTAGAACTGAAACTCTACACTGCCCTTGAAATGGGGACTTGTGATCTGTGAAAAATTCAGAAAAAACCACCAAGTGTGGTGGTGCACACCTGTAATCCCAGCTACTCAGGAGGTTGAAATAGGAGGACAGCAAGTTTGAGGCCAGTGGTGGCAACTTAGTCTCAAGAAAAAAAGGGCTGGGGATATAGTCCAGTGCTCCCTGCGTTCAATTCCCAGTTAAGGGCTGGGGGTATAGCTCAGCGGCACAAGCGCCTACCTGGCAAGCACAAGGTCCTGAGTTCAATTCCCGGTACCAAAAAAAAAAAAAAAAAAAATTCCCAGTTAAAAAAATTTCAGAACAATGAGAAAGGTGTGCACCACTGGTTTCTTTCAGGAGAGAGACTCAGGTGTCCCTGCAGAGAGCACATCAGTACCTGACAGTGGGGAACGCTGAGTACTGCGTACTGAGTGATACTGAGTACTGAAATGGTACTGATGAGTCTTGAGATAGGCTTCTAACGCACCAAGGAGCAGTGCAAGGACAAAGTGATTTTATCTTTCTACTGGTTCATCAATAATTATTCTGGAAACAAAGGCCAGCATGTTCTCAGGCGTTCTTGGGGCTGTGACCACGCACACATGCATGCACACGCACACACACATGCACACGGCTGGGTGAGTTAGAAGGGTAACAGACTCTGGGACCACACGAGAACTGCATTCTCCAATAAGATCACCAGAGGGGGCCTCTAGCTCCTTGCTAACCAGGAATGAAGCAGCTCAGAGTCCACCTGGATGGACTTTAGATCTAAGGACAGGTAAGTTGGGAGTGCCTGGCAGGAAACAGTGTATTTGCCTTGCTCCGGTGTACGATGTACTCGCATTTATTAAGAAAATATTTACCAGCCAGACATGGTGGCGCACATCTGTCCCAGTACTTGAGAGGCTGAGGCAGGAGGATCACCATGAGTTCAAGCCCAGCCTGGGCTACATAAGCGAGCTTAAGGCCAGCCTGCACTACATAACAAGACCCTGTTTCAAAAAAACCAAAACAAAGTACATTTATGAAGCTCTTCCTAGGTGCTCAACATGGACCATGCCAAATACTGGGAAAACAGCTGCGTACAGCGTCGTGGTCACCTTGGGCTGCCCTTGATGGTGTCCAGTTTGGTCTCCGCTGCCTTGTAGATTTCACCAGGTAAACCAAAGTCCCCAGAAGGACCAACCTCAAAAACCCTCTGTGAGTGGGTGCTATGGTTTGTGTCTGCATGTCCCCCCCAAATCCTCATGCAGTCATGGGGTGGCCTCTAGGATTTGTGACTGATCTATGATCCAACGCTGGGATTATGGGTGTGAGAGCTACACCCGTCCTGGGGTGGGTAGTCTGCGTACAATGTAAGGGAGGGAAAGAGGCTGCTTGCCGCCATTCCTCCCTTTTGCTCTTGTTGCTTTTGCTGTCTTCCGACGCCATGAACTGTTACCCTGTGCCATGTTCCACTCCACCTTGGAGCCAGCTGAGCACGGACCGAAACATCCATGAACTGTGAGCTAAATAAACCTTTCCTTCCTTAAATGTGAGCATTGGGTATTTCTGCCCCAGCAACAAGAGAAAAGTAACCAAGACAGTGGGAAATACCTACACATCTAGACATTCAGCAGAAGCGACTTCTGCATGACAACGCGGTGTTTCCCTGGGGCTGGGGAGCGCAGCGGTAGACACTGCCCAGCATGCATGAGGCCCTGGGTCCCAGCCCCAGCCCCATTCAGAAATGTCGTATTTTACGGAGATGAAGACGTCTCTGGTGGTTGACAAAGGACACTGATGACACACGGGAAATGCAAAGCGGACCCTGGACACATGACAAGAATGGCTGGAAGAACAGAGCCGGAAATATAAGAATGAAAAGGGGCAAACTGAGACACAGCTCTCTCAGTGACTTCCCCAACAGTATCTGGAACACAGTAGGAACTTAATAAATAGTTGTTAAATGACTGAGTGACAGTAAGTAACAAGCTGATCACTGAGGAGCACATGCAAGAGCAGGGCTGGGGCATGGCTCCATGGGAGGGCGCCTGGCTGGCCGTGGAGGCCCTGGGTCTGATCCCAGCACAGGGGTAGACAGAGGCTGAGGATGCCCTCCACAGGGAGCGAGGAGCTCCAGGGATGTGTGGACGGTGACGGCTACTGAAAACAGTAAAGGAAGAGTGATGACAGAGAAAGAATGGAAAAATGGGAGCAATTAACCTTTTAAAATGAAAATTTTATTTCATAGGTGTGCAGCCTGAACTTTGGGGCCACGTATCAAGTGTCTCTGTTCAACTACAAAAATTCAACATTCACATGCTTCATCCAACTACGTATGTGTTATTATTGGCATTGCAAAGTACTGTATGTCGTTGTGATCACATTTTCCTCATATGCTTTGGCAAATTTTAATTTTCTTTTCAAGTGAGATTACATATACTAAGAATGGCTACTCAAAATGTCAAATAACAAATGCTCGAATAGTAATAGGAGCTAACATTTTATAGTTCTTTGCAGTTAACAGGGCACTTCTCACATGTTTCATTTCTGTTAATTCCCACACCAAGGCTTTGATGGTCTAAGGAAGGCTGCAGGCTCTGAATCAGTCTCTCTGTATAATGCAATAGCAACAGGGGTACCTCATGGGACTGTTAGGGAGGTTAACGGTGTTAACCTGCATGGGGTATCCCGAACCAGGGCTGCTGCAGGACGAGTGTCCAAAGGGTGCCACCTGCTAAGACTCGTGAGGTGGTGCAGACGGCGTTACTGTAAAGATGCCCCTTTCGTAGAGGAGCAAACTGAGGCTCAGAAAAGTTGAGTAATGTGACTGAGGCAACACAACCTGGAAGTGACAGAGCCGCAGGCTTTATGCCCAGTCGCTACAGAGAAATCCTGTACTTTCCTGGAATTCAGATAACAACAACAACAACAGAATTAAAGAAACCATATTTCTTACCGCACTCGGTCACTGGGGTTCACAGCGACTAATGCTCCTCTATCCCAAATCCTGTCAAATTTACCAATATTTGCTCTACCAGAAAAAAAAAGGGGGGGAAAATTGTAACATCTTATGTACAAAACATCAAATCTTGAACAAGCTGAGCACTGTTTCTCAAAGCACACGCTGGTCCCTCCCCAATTCTGAGGAGTGAGGACCTCATGTCTGCTATAGGGACACCCGTGGGGACCTGTCCGCTTCCTCAAGTGTCAGAGTCCTGTGGCAGCAGCTCCTTTACGATTTGAGGGCTTAAAGGAGAAAAAGGGACGAGACATGACAACAGTGCTCCAGCTCTGGGGTCGGGCAGTAGGGACTCTCAGGAGGGGAGACCCTGTCTCCCTGTACACCTTGTGATTCATTTCCTGATAGGCCGCGCTGAAGGGAGGGTTCACAGCTCTCTCCTCACCTTTCCCCTTCTTGCCTCGGGCTGTAATAATGTTTCTCACAGTTTGGGAGCTGCCCACGGACAAACAAGGTGGTAATAAAAATAACTGCAGAATGCAGACTCTGACCGGGGCTTTCTGGCTGCTACGCAGATGGATGGTAGTGACGGAAGGGCCACACGTAACAAGCACTCACATTTTTTAAAGCGCAGCTATATGATTTAGTCTTACCTGGGAAGATCGAAAATGTTGCAGCAGTACAGTGAAATATTCCCCGAAGAACTCTGTAATGAAACAATGAAAAAACTATTTTCCACTTCATTAGGAGATATTTGAATGGCCAAGGAAAGAATACAGGGGCCACGCAAAGCAAAGGTGGCAGAGAGAGAATGGAGCACATATGAAATACAAGAATTTTACTACAGTTTCACAGTACTTTGTTTTTTTTTTAAAGCTTGTATGGGTTTCTGAGCCCCCTGGGAGGCTGAGGCAGGAGGCTTGCAGGTGTGAGCCATGTCTCAAAACAAAAATGGGCTAGGGATGTAGCTCAGTGTGAAGGCCCTTGGTTCAAGCCCCAGTACCACAAAATAAAACCAAAAAGCAAAACAAAACAAAACAAAAACATGTGTGAGGTTCTTCAGGGTCAATACAAAGTGGAAATTCAGACAGGGCATTTTTGAACATCAAAAGACTATTACTTATTTCAAAGCATATTAAAATTCTAGCAATGTTAACTTGAGCAGAGTCCTGATACTTTCACTGGGCTGAAGATAAATCCCCAGGTCAGGCAGTTACCAGGTGTGCTCATGCAGAGGGGCAGATACTTTTACAGTGACTCAGAAAAGCTGGGTATGGCAGTCCATGGCTGTCATCACAGCCTGTAGGACAGAGGACAGCCTGGGAGCGCTGGAGAAGGTGGACAGAGGTGGCTTCCGACAGGGTGTCGTGAGGCATCTGCCAGAACTCAGGACGGGGCGGGCTGGGGGTACCATCCTGGAGGCATAACGGGGTGCAGACTTGAGAAGCCTGGGCTCCCTGGGCAACTTTTGAGCACCCCACTGCTAGAAGATTCTGATTTCACGGAGCTTGGCCCAGGGATTTTAGAAAGATCCAGGGATGATTTTCAGTGTGCAGCCAGGGCTGGACACCACTGCCCCCAGAGGGGTCTGGAATTATTCTGAGATGATTTGAGAATGGGATAGGGGAAAGTTATAAATAATGTGGATCAAGCCTCCTACTGGTCTAAACCATTAGTTTCAATGTTTAGAAAGCAGCATTTGGGAGGGACTACATGGATAAATGGTCCAGGGCCAGGCCATTCAGGACAACAGAACTCTGACCTACAACCTCTGTAGCCACCAGCCTGGAAGCTGAAGCACAGCTCTGCAGCCACCTGGTCAGTCTCTGATATTTACCATCCCCTCCCCTTTCCAACTCAGACCAACCTGAGAAAGCCAAACACCTCCGCAAACCAAGCCGCCCACTTCCAGCTGTTCACAGCTTCCATCATGGTGTACACCTGCAGCAGGCACCTGTCCCTTTCTCCACGGTAAAGCTGTCTTGCCCCTCCCCCGCCTGTCTCTACAAAACCCAGGTGGCGGCCGGCTTCTGACACGCAGCCTCTGGGGTTCTCAGCTGGGAAGGGTCATATCACCCTGAGCTAGCAAAGCAGTTTGTCTGGATAGCTCCGCTCACAGGACGAAGATAACTCCCCAAACTGTCATTTGCAGCCCAGACACCACCTTCCTTCACAATTTCCTAGTTTTTTAAACTCATCAGCTCCAAAACAAGTCATTTTTCTCTGCTCTCTAAGTTTTTCTTTCTTTTTTCTTTTTCTGGGTGTTTTGAGGCTGGATCTCACTGTCTCACTGGGTAGCCCAGGCTGGCCTTGAACTCCCGGTCCTCTTGGCTTGGCCTCCCAAGTGTTGGGATTGCAAGTGTGCACGATTATGCCCAGCTTCAGCTTGCTTCTTTATTCTCTACCACTGGGGACCAGTCATGGGGGCTGGAAAGGAGAACTCCTCACCCCTTCACCCCCACTCAATGACTAGATCCTGCCAGCTAGAGATGGTAAACACGACTTTAATCCAGCCTTCCCGCTCTGTGTGCTGCCACTGCTGTCCTCGTTCAGGTCTTCATGATTTTATTCCTGGACCATGGCCCACACCCTCCTATTTCACCTCTCTGCCAGGAAGCTACTCCCTTCAAATAACTCCCCATGAAGTCATAAGGTGATTTATCTCAAAAGACAATCCGGCCACGTCATGCTCCTACTTAAAAGCCTACTGTGAAGAATGAAGCATTATCTCCCCAGGGGATCTCACACCACAGCCTTGAGCCCTGCCTGGTCTCCCGCCCTGTCAGTTACCATGCATCAGGGAGCACCCTGAGCGGGGCTGAGTGGCTCTCCTGCCATTTGCTTAATCCTTTGTTATTTTTTTTTAACTTGTTTTTTTGGTACCGGGAATTGAACTCAGGACTTGTGCTTGCCAGGCAGGCGCTTATGCCGCTAAGCTATATCCCCAGCCCAATCCTGTTATTACTTTGTTCCATGTATTATAATGACTTTGTCGCTGTGTTTCTTTTCTGCTAAGCTAAGAGACTATGTCGGGTAGGGATTGTATTATCTTTCATTTCTTCCATGCCTTATACAGTGTTCGGCACCTAATAGGTTCTCAGAAAATGTTTGTTGGGAAAAGAAAGGCTTTCCTCCTAATAGCGTGGCTGGGTCCAAAAGTCTATGTTGAGTCAGACATGGGTCTCTGTTCTGCAGAATGGGGTTTGTTAAAGTTTTCAAGAACAGGGCTTACTTAGGAGGAGCTACCAAGTGAATTTTGAAGGAGACAAGAGGGAAAAAATGATTACTATGCTCAAAGTCCTTAGCAATTTAGGATGAAAATAAGTACAACATGTGCAAATACAGGATGACAGTTTGTGTAACAGATAGCACCTGTCAGGTTGCTTATCTGTGTTGAAGGGATCAGATAATCTGCACAGTAAATGCCTATGCATTACCAAGATGTGTTGCAAAAGCCAGCCTGAAAAATGATGCAGTGGCCTGTAGGCTTCTCCAGAGGTGAGGCATGGCAACACCCACAGAGGCCAAGTGGAGGTGACCAGAGATGAATTCAATGTGAAGAGCATCAGTGGTCACCCTGGTGCCTTCACCAGCTGGGTGGATGCAGGCCTTGTCAGGCCTATCACTGGTAATGAATTCTGGGGGCCCTGCAGGGAGCTGTGAGTAGAGTCTTGTCTATTCCTCAGAGCATCAAGCAATTCCCTGGCTGTCACTGTGAAAGCAAGTTCAGTGCAGAAGCACACTGGGAGCACATGTGTGGGTCAGAACATCGCGGACTGTAGGTGTACCTAATGCAAGAAGATGACGGTCGTTACAAGCAACAGTTCTTTTGGTACATACATCCCGACGCAACCCTAGACACACAGGAAATGTGTAAGACAGTGTGTGCTACCATAAGGGAAGAGCCAGCCTAGGAGAAGCTGCCCAAGGGAGAAGTTAAAAGGAGAAACACAACTATCTGCAAACATCTCTTGCATAGATCAGGCAGCTCAAAATGAGACACGCTTCCTCAAGGCTCAAAACAGACTGCAGAGAGCTAAACTAAACAATAATTTTCAGATGCAGACAATGCATTTATTGACCACGCAGCTTAATACAAGGAGGAGACGGCACTGGGGATGTAGCTCTGTAGTAGAGCACTTGCCTAGCATGCATGAGGCCTTGGGTTTGATCCCTACTACTGCAAAAATACCCTATACACAACAACAATAAAAAACCCATCCAAGAAGAAAAACAGAAAATCTTAAATCCAGAATACAGAGAGGCTTTGACTGGATAGGCTTTGCCTATTACCTATATTTTGAAGCCCTAGCTTTTTACTGTAGATAATGCCTCAACAAACCTGTGGGTTGAAGAGGACCCACCTAACACATGTGTCCTCATGCACATGTTCAGAAAAATCTTTACTGAGAAGGTATGAACAGTGTTTTCTTTTTTAACAAAGTCAAAACTAACCTTAAAAACTTTTGCGCCAGGAATTTCAGTGATTGGTTCTTCCGAGTAAGAAAGATTCTGCTCCACAAAAAATTCCCGTATCCCAAGTTCACTGATTTCGACGCCAACTACACTGTGACCCAGATCTGCAAACCTACGTAAAAGCATATATGTCATTTTAATCTTTATTTCAAATACAGTGCGAAATAAAAGGGTGTACCCCCATAAATATATATTTTCTTCATGGGTTCATATTGTTTTGGTTACTTTTCTCTTGTTGCTGGGACAAAATACCTGATGCCCAGAATTAAGGACGGAAAGGTTTATTTAGCTCACAGTTTGTGGAGGTTTCAGTCCATACTGAGCTGCCCCAAGCAGGGTGACACGTGGCAGAGGGCAACCATTCATGGTGGCGGACAACAGCAAAAGCAGCAAGAGCAGAAAGGAGGGAGCAGAAACAGCAAGCCTCTCTCCCTCCCTCATACTGTATTCAGGCTACCCGCCCTAGGGTGGGTGTAGCACTCGCACCCATAATCCCAGCATTGGACTATGAATTAATCACAAACTCTAGAAGCCCACCCCATGACTGCATGAGGCTTTGGTGGGACATCTAGACTCAAACCATAACACATATGATTTCAGATTCACAGTTTTCATAGGTAGTGTACAGTAGTGGGTCTATATATTTTTAAAATTCTTGTTATATGTGATTCTGAAAGATTGATTTATAAGAACTGAGGGAGGAAATTAAAATTTGAAAACTTGTATTTTAAAATATTGATTTAATATAAACATATTTGACTAGAGGAAATGCACTTCAGTTCCCCTAATTCATCACTGCCTGTAACATTTTCGGTGATGACAAGGAGCTCTATGTCTATTTCTGTGCTGTCCAATTCCACTGCCCATGTTGGCTACTGAGGACTTGAGATGTAGCCAGTCTGACTGAGGAACTGAATTTTAAACTTTATTTGGTTTAAATTTAAATAGCATCATGTTACTAATGGCCCCTGTATTGGAACACACAGCTCTAGAACATTAGCATCCATTTCTATAACAACCTCACAATTTCCACGTGCTTACAGTAAGCATTACCCAAAATCTTATTTTGTTACCACGTGAAAATAACATTTTTCTGGTAAGCTTTATTACTACAGAAATCACAGTTTTGGCCTCTTGGGTTTATGAGAAAAGAGTATTAACAGCAGAAATAACTAGTCATTATCATAAGTTTATGCCAAATACTGTATGTAAAAACATAGTTCCGCCTTAATGCAATACCTGCCTCCCTAAAAATTACCAGGCTATGCAAAATTGTGCAAAGACATCAAAGTCTGACAGGGGAGACAGCGGTTAGGGAAAAATAAAAAATTTTGTCAGTGACACAAAGAAAAGAGACAAAAGAACCTATTAGTAATGGTTTCCCTCATGTAAAATGGCTAAGAAATAGACAAACACTCCCACGTGGCCCCTCTCCTGAAAAAAGACCTAAAGTTGATTTGTAGAAGTGGGCGGTGAAAGAGCTACAGTTTGTGCACGATTGTGACCAGATGCAAGGAGGGTAACTGGAGGTCAACTGGACAGTTGTAACACCAGCCGTGGGTGGGAGAGGCTCACAGCACTTGGGCTAAGCTCGGCACAAGGCAATGTCTCAGTGTGTGTGTGTGTGTGTGTGTGTGTGTGTGTGTGTGTGTTCTGTATTCACATATAACTTAGTTCAGCCGGGCATAGTTTTCTCCTTTCATCTATTGTTTCTTGCTGATGAAATCACACAACAGCAAAGGTGAAGTTTGTATGATGCTCAAATTGCTTCCTATTACAGCAATCTAGTTAGAATAAAATTCACATTTTCAAAGCAAGAAAAGACTGTACCTATTATCTACACAAGTGTACATACTTTGAATGTGGACAGAGAATGCACTGTTTATAGTTCTAAAATGAAACATGTTAATAGCTTGTCTTTCATATTTTCTAAAAATTTGTAAAATACAGGGAATTTTTAAAATTCTTCATACTTTTTTTTTCCCCGGTACCAGGAATCGAACTCACTACTTCCCGCTTGCCAGGCAGGTGCTGTGCCGCTGAGCTAAATCCCCAGCCCCATCCATACTTTTTTTAATGTTACAAAATATACACAAAGTTGTCTGAACTGGCTGCATGAGGTTTTACTTCCTATTTAACATACAGAAAAATGAAGCATAGACTAAAGATAGCTGGAAATAAAAACAAAAAACCAAAGCCTAAATCATTCCATTTTAATGCTTTTTGGCCTTAGCTCATGATCCGTTACCTATTCACATGTGATGTCTGCATAGAGCTCATACATACACTGATTACATAAATGAAAAATTCTCTACTAACTTAACGTGCAATTACAGTACCTCAGTTTTGATATTTTAACGACTTTAGAAACAAAATATTAAACTATCATATTTCACTGGTTATTTCCTCATAATCTTTTCTTAATGTTGCCTAAATCCTAGAGAGCTACATTGTTACCACTTATGACGATGCCATTACAACAATCTGTTTATGGAGTTAGTATTTTTTCTTGTGGGCAGTTTCCAAAGTAATTCTTTTCTGGTTCAGAGACTTGGTTAAGACATAGGTCTAAAGCTGAAGTGTTCTCAATGTAATGGCTACAACTGAATCAGCCACAGCAGCTATTTCACATGCTTTCAGCTACAAGATGCAAGAGTGAGTGCTACAATAATCTCACCATTTCTACTGGAAAATTAATTCCAAATGCAAGCATGCTCTATAGGGAGGTCACTAATACTTATATAGGGAAGGAGTATTTTTAAGTTACTGTATTATATTTTGCATGTACTAATTTTTTTTCATACATCCGTTTCTCCTTTCTGCTTACTGATCAAAGTCCTCAACATTTGGGCTTATAAATGAATGCATATCTTGGCAGGTATGCTTGTGTCTGTATCTTGTAATTACAACGGAGCTCTGAATAGAAAATGATTTCCAGTACCCCCAGTAACAGTGGCTTCTTAAGTAACATGAATTCCCTTTATAGAGAATTACTTATTAGGGATACTTTCATCATCATTGGTTTTATAACATTGGTTCATAGTAACAAAAACTCCTATTTTCTCATAGGAGGAGGGAAGATTGAAATGAACAGAGGATTATAATAAACACTGTCCTGCTAAAAAGTTGTAATGTGTTTTGAATTATGTGGTCTATCTCCATTTCAAATATCTTGCTAAATTCTTAAGCCATCTACGATAATTAAATCATGCACAAAGATCCAGGAGATGTAAGAGGGGCAGCTGGCTTTCCTCACCAATTTGATTCCAAACTAGTTCTTTTCTTTTGAAATACAACAGAGAAAAACAAAGTCACACTTGTATCCGGTCTGTTTGAAAACATTACCTCTAATGATCACTTAATATCCCTAAGGGTCTACTTAAAGAATCCTTGTGCATTTTTTAACAGTGGAAATTACAACCTACATCCTGTTAAATATTCACCCAATGGATTCATCACCAAAGACAAGTGTGTTGATGCTTATTTGCTCATACCATTTCATCTCCACTGCTTTTCCACAAAGGGGAAAAAACACTCTCAGTCCACTCTTGCCTTTAAGAAAAGTATCCAAATGCTTCTTTAATAGCCTGGAGAGAAAAATAAAAGTTGTTTATGCCCAATGCACAAGAGTACAATGTAATCATAGTACACTAATTTTCATGCATTCTCTCACTATTACCAGCCACGTTAATTAGTAGATATTAATGATCACACACTCTAGTTTACATATAAACAAATAGGACAGCTAAGTCACTTCCTCAGTCACATCACACAGCTAGTTAGTGATAAATTTGACTTATCCCCTGGGTTTCCTGATTAGTAATTAAAACGTTTTAAAATTGCTTCTTCCTTGTCTGACATGTTTTGAAAATTCTACATCTAATCTCCAAATTTATACCTTTTCTTTTAATGTGATATGGAAAGGGAGCCTCTTGATCCATGAAATTTTCAACATTTACTTTATTGGAAAATTTCTCTAAAGAAGTTTAACGCTTGTAGTTACTTGCATCATTCAAGCCAGGTGTGGTAGCGCACGCCTGTAATCCTAGCACTCGGGAGGGTGAGGCAGGAGGATAGTTGTGAGTTCGAGGGCAGCCTGAGCTAGATAGTGAGCTCAAGGCCAGCCTAAACTGCATACGGGTTGTCTCAAAAAGACCCAAAAAAAAAAAAAAAAAGCTTTTATTCAGTGTGCAAATGTGCAGTGATGATAATAATGGGGATGATATGGGGGGGGGGCTGCCTGGAATAAGGACCAGGTATAATGGCTGCATTACTCAGCATGGCCCCATGATTTATCACTGCTGCCATGAAGAAAACAATGCTGCTAAAATGCTGCTCAGCACCTTGGCTCGCTTGATTAACTGCTCTCAATATCTCTCCCTCACCATCTGGATGACACTTGTACATCAGAACAAAAAAGCAGAAGTGTCGCTTTGGCATTTGCTGTATGGACAGTATGAACATGCACGACTGACGTAAAGATGCTACAGGTGATATTTTTAAAGGGACATATTTGCTAAGTCTAACATGCTATAAATTGGGGTCGGGGATATCGCTCAGTGGCACAGCGCCTGCCTGTGGCAAGTGCAAGATCCTGAGTTTGATTCCCAGTACCAAAAACAACAACAACATGCCATAAACTGGAAATTGCATAATTATTTCTACAGTGAGGAAAGAAAGCACATTGCCAGTGAAACTGACTAGCCACAGATGTGCTCTGATCTCTGAGGCGCTACAATATATATTGAAAAATAGAAGAACATGCATCTTAAAAAATCGAATGCCATGAGTTCGATTCCTGGTACCGGAAAAAAATACAAAAAAAAAAAAAAAAAAAAAATCAAATGCATTACTATTTCTATTTCAAAGTCAGTTTCTGATAGAGCATCCCTCCCTCATAGACCAAACGTGTCTTACTGATGTCCTGCTGCTCGATGAAATCCAATTTCTTGGTTCACCCACTTGTCTTGCCATTCTTTCAGGGTCATTAATCGATTCTTCTGTACCTCACTATCAGGGTACTCTTTAATATCAAGGGAAGTTCTTGTGTCACTCATAGCTTTGTGGACACCGCTGTCTCACAGGCAGGTAACTCCAATGTCTAAATGCAAAAGATTATCAATGCAGTCATGTAAGGCCACTGAAATTCTGTTGAACAAAATGAAAACCTATATCCTCGGTAGACAGGTTTTAAAAAATATTTCAACACCCAATAAAAAAGCCAGGCAAAGAATTAATTTTCACTGAGTCTGGCAATGGAGGCATAACTTACATCACACATTAGAAAAGATAAAATAAATTGAACTACACCTTAACACAGTGAAAGGGCTTGACTTCAATTTTAAAAAGGGGGAAGGGAACAAAAACAACCAGGCATTCCACAGTGTGTAATTTTTGTAAGCTTAGCATTTTTCTATTATATTATTCTTTTTAAAGTATTTACATGTCCTTGCTACTTTCTATCAGTGTTATACACAATTTGAAGAGTTCAACACATTTGCTGTGGAAATAGCAGTTTCCTTCCCACGAAACACGCAAGCAGCTACTTCCAAATCTTCTGCTGAGTCCTGCTATTTCAATTAGCATGCTGGTTTTGTATCTTTTCAATTTTTTCATTTCTTGATAGTTTTCTCAGAGAAGATATGTAGTTCATTCTCTTGCAGCTTCCCAACATACACACACACACACACACACACACACACACACCATCTTTTCATCTGTCTTATACCCTCATTTTTCTGATGAAGTATTTTGGGTGTACATTATTGTAACAAGGTAAATACTATTCATAGACAAGCCACATGGTGTTCTATGATTACTTTTCCATGCAATGTTTTAATTCTGTCATCAATAACTGTCTTGCTTACTCATTTATGAAGTTTTCATGTACTTGTCAGTAATTCAACTCCAAGTTCTGTTGACTGTCATCAGATATGATTGTCACCAGCTAGTCTGGGTCTTTGCTTCAGTGATAATGGACATTAAAATCAAGGCATTCCTATGAATTCATGGGAAAAAGCTCTAATTAAAAAATAAGAGAAAATAAAGGGAAGTGCTGCTTTGACAAAGAGTAAGGTGGTCCGCTACCAAAGGAAAGAGGAAATAAGAAAAGGGCTGCTTCCACTTGAGGGACTGAAGCGGTGACCTGTTCACAAAAGAATGGAGACCACTTTATGGGGTGCTATGGTGAGCTGGGGTCTGGCTAATCACCATCTCAGCCCTGATTTCATAGCTCCAGAGGAATATTCTGTTGTCATTAAAGACATTTTTGCCTGGACAGTCTCAGCCTGGGCAGCCTTGTGAGGCTCTACTGGAATTGGAGATCTAAGCTGGTGGAGACTTCCAGACTTACTGAATGTTCCCGTAAATCCTGAAAATTACTTTAGTTACTCTTCTCTTGATGTCATCAGTCTTGAAGGAGGATGAGAAAGGGTAGATACATCTTAGGCTAAGAAAACTTGTTTTGCCAACTTTTCTTAAATGATCAACACACCTATATCTGAAGTTTTAAGGTAATACACGAGTTACCTGTTGGTCATCTGTAACCCAAGTGAAGAGTCACCAGTTTTAGCAAAAGCTGCTCTGACTGCCTCAGAAGAGAAGACAAATCACATTTTTAATGAGTAACAGGTTAAGGGGCCAAAAGTTTATTTGTCCTGTCTTACGGTGGCCTACTGGGAAAACAAATGCACCTCTTATGGTGACAGTGTTATGATCACTGAAGCCTTTAAAAAAAAAATCCTGTCATTGGTGGAGTCTCAGCAAGAGAGAAAAATAGATGTATAGGTTCAGTATCTTATTTCTATACTCTAAGTTTGTATTTTAGAAAATTTTCTGATAGCTTTTTTGCACGGAAAAATGCACATAAAGAAACTGAGAAAAAAGAACAAATAAACATAGTTGCAGGTCCAACAGAATATACTGTATAAGGAAAACATATTTCACTGCCAGCTTTGCAACATTGAGGACAATATAACACCACAATTCCAACATTAACTTTAAATTATTAGTAAAACTAATATAGCTTGGACTGTGCTAGCAGGTATTACAGGTTTTTCAAACTTAATGATTTATCCATGACAAAGCAAACACCACAAAAAAGCAGGAATCTGAGGAAAAATTCCCCTTTTGTTGTACCATTTGGCTTCAAAGCACCTACGGTTAAATGAGAGGGCACCTCCATCATTACTGGGAAAACAAATGCACTTCTCAGCTAATTATTTGTTAAGGAATGATAGGGGGAGTATTACTTATGTGGCGATCAGAAAAAGTTGCACTTTTCCTAGGTCTTTAGTCCTAAGTCTGTGTCATAAAAGGGAACGACAGTCTTTATCCCACAGACAGAGCAACCTGGAATTGCGCGACTCTTTCCACGTGAACTTGACGGATAACACCGTCATAAGTACAATCACTTCTTGGCTGTTCTTACGGCTTCTCACTGTATACATCTGTCTGCGTCATTTCTGGAGCATAAAAAGTCTCTAAACATAACAAGAGTGCAAAAGTATAGGAATCAGAAAAAGCAAATTTCACAATAATTTCTACTCATAAATGTTAACCTACAATGAATTCGTTGGAACCCCAAGTTGTCCTCTACCTTAAAAAAAAAAAAAAAAAACTGTTCCTGCTCTAGGTTTATTTTTAAATTTCCTAAATTGAAGAGTCGTTTCCCCGGGCACAGAGGTGTGGCCTGTGGCCCGGCGAGCCCTGCACTCGCACAGCCCGGGTGGCACCGCCGAGTCCAGAGTCCGCACAGCGCCCCCGCCCGGCTGCCCCGAGCGCGCGGCCCGCCCTCCTCCCCGCTGGAAATCCCGGTCATTTAGCTCACGTGCTCAAGCCCTGCCCTGTGCACCTCCTTATTCCCTCTGTTCCCTGCACCCCACTTTGCACTGCGGATGCCTCATCCCGGAAAAGCTATCACCGGCTCCCACAGTCCAGCAAACTATCTCGCTCCTACCCTCCCTGGTGCCCCGCAGGGACCCACCTCGCAGATCGCCGGCCACCAGCCACTGTCACCTCGCGGAGGCTCCCACCTCCCTCCCCCTCACCACCCCCGGCTTCTCCGGCATAGGCCCCGCCCCCTCCAGGGCACGCCCCTCGGGGGGGCCACCTGCCCCCGCCCCCTCCGTGAGCGAGGCCACGCCCCTTCCAGAGCACGAGGTCCCGCCCCTCCCAGGTCAGGTCTGCGCAACGGCGGAAGTGGCCG